ATGGACTTTTCACTAAGAGAAACTGATATCAATTTCTTCACAAGCAGGAAAGCAGGGAAGGATTACATGTTTTCTCCCAACCTCTCTTATCTCTCTCAACTGGTGAACGGAGCTGTCTACAGTCATGAAAGAAAAAAGCTCAGTCTTTTAAAAATAACACTATTTTTCTCTAGCCCATGGTCTAAAAGTCATTACTTTGTCTAGGAGTAGGAGCGTATAATGAAGCAATGTACTGCCTTTCACAACTACCTTGCCTTCCACGCATGCTACAGCACTGTAGTATAAATGCACAGTCTAAACCCACATAAGCTAAATTTGACAATACAATATTTATTTTCCACAATGGCTTGCATGATAATCCAGCATTAATAACTGTTGATGACACACAAATAATCAAACTATTTGTAAACATAGCCTGTCAATGTGAATTGCAATTGATATTAAAAATGAAATCACATGGCTCGAAAGTGGCTCTCTAAGTTATTGTTAACTAATGAGAAGTCCCACCAGTGTTGGTGCTTTCATTTTTCAGAGGTTTTCAACCTGAATATGACAAATAAATATATTTACTGTATTCCACATGTAAAAGGAATGTATTTGGCCTTTCTAGCTGTTTGGAACCTCTAGGACATCTTGACGAAGTTTCTTCTCCCGGTATATAACAAAAAACTGAAAAGCACCTACACTAGTTAAAAGTATCTTTCTACTTAGTTCTTACAAAACAGCAGGTGTACCTAACGTCTATCTTAAAGCACATTTTATTTTACATTTCCCAAATTACACTACAAACTGAGAAGGTAACCTAGTTTCAAATGCAAAATGAGACAGTGTGCAGTCAGACACTAATTCTATTTTCTTTTTTCCATAAACTGTATATTTTAATCAAAGAATGCATACAAAAAGCTCCTGATTATACTAAAACATCAAAACTATATTCCTGCTTTTGGAGTGAGTACTTATTAAAATATGGCAAGAGCAGTCTTAATCCATTCAGAACGTAGACAAAGGGTTACCTATGCTATCTGCTATAAAAAACAGAATCTGGTGAAACTTCATTAGTGTTAATAGAGTTACCCTGGCTGTGAAGGCACATACATGAAATCAGAAGTAGCCTCTCACTAAAATATGCATGCTGTTGCCAAGAAAGCCCCCTAGGAACAAAGGGCTGTTTTGTATGCCTAGATCTAGGCACCCATTGCTTCTCTGAACTTTCAGCTATTGATTTAAGCTCAGAAAATAGAAGTTAGACATGTAAATCTGTGATAAATTCTTCAGAGTAATTTTCCTACACCACAGTTTGATAGTTTTGAGTCCTAGAACTTGAAGGCCTAGCAACTCTACAGAAAAGCTGTCAAGACTAGAAACGGAGTAGCACAATGTACATTACCACACTTAGACTCTGTCCTTTCATAGGCATCCCACAAGCACACGTAACAACAGAAAACGCTATTGTATTGAAAGAAACTTGTTTCAGAAAGAGACTTGTTTCATAACGCTACTGTGTTGCAAGGAAAAAATGAACGTTAGGGCAAAGCTGCTACCCTCTTCCCAAGACCACCATCCCCATGGACAGCTCTGTCTCCACACACATTGCCACCCACACTCAGAATGGCCACTCACCGGTTCACCTGGGATTGATAGCCCATTGGGGCCCTGCGGACCTGGAGGACCTTGAGGGCCAGGAGGACCTGTCTCACCGCGAGGACCAGGTGGCCCCTTAAAGCAGAAAATTAAACAAGATTGTAAATGACAACCCCTTCTTAGATCTGTAACTACAGAATCCTTTGGGTTAGACACTTAAGGTAAGCGGAGACACATTTAATATTTCAGAACAACTACGGAAACAGTTATCCAAGTGGCATATTCTTTCATAAGCTATTCTCTGATTCACATTGGCTGTCTCAGGCCAACACATGTCTTCTGGCAATGTTAATTAGAAGTATAGCTGTCTCCTCTGTACAGAAGAAAGGACAACAATGCTGCAGTGTGTATTAACACCCTGATGCAAGTACTCTAGTTTCCTGATGTGCAGTCAATGCCTTTGAGGCTACATATATACACATAGGCTGTGTATACGTAGTCTCAAATAGGTAGGCTGCACATAAATAACATCCAGGCATGCTTCCAAGTAAATTTTTAATCTGTATTCTTAGCTCAGCATAGAACTAAACATACAAATTTTCATAAAGGCAAGCAAGTAGCAACATTATAGATGTATTCCAGAAAGATACTTACAGATGATCCAGTCAAACCTCTTTCGCCTCTGGGACCTTTAGCACCTGGGCCACCCTAAATTGAATATTTGGAAAGAAAATGTCTTTCATACGGGGAAATCAAGGGTGCATGATATTGGTGTGCGTTATGAATTCTCTTTATCTAACTCTAATATGTGAAGGCCCAAAATTTTGAAGTGTATAGATCACACTGCTAAAAGAAGTACTAGAATAAAAGATGTATAAGAAACTCAGGTAAACCACATCAGCTTCATCCTTGTCAATTCAGCCCATGAAAAACTATTGTCATCTTTGTCTCTGCAGATATAAACTTTTTTAATTTCTACTCTTCAAAATCTCTGGATACCTTTCTAGTAGACTACCAAACAACTTAACTGGGCTTCAGATTCCTCATGCAGCATTTTTGATAGCTTTAAAGTAGAAGGACTACTGGGCTGAGTATAACTCCCTTATATGTGAAGTAATTGGTAGGAGCGTAGCCATTCCATAGATTACTGTCTCTTCACATAAAAAAAAAAAAAAAAAAAAAAAGAGAGAGAGAGAGAGAGAGAGAGAGAGAGAGAGAGAGAGAGAGAGAGAGAGAGAGAGAGAGAGAGAGAGAGAGTGTAACTAATTCATTTCCCTGACAGAGTAAGGAATCTTTCCTTGGAATGAAATCCTGACTCTGTACTTAGGAAAAATAGTTGCACAGTCCATTAAAAGTATCTTGTACATGAAGTGCAAGACAGCTGAGATTGGGCCAGATTCTTTCAACCTGTCAATGAGGAGCTATTCACAGCGATCACACTGGAAATATGGGAAAAGGATTATTATATAAATGAGTACAGGTGGCAGAAGCTGCCCAACTGTGTTTTAAACTAAGATGAAACCATGACGTTATGGACATGTTGATAGAAACTATCTCTCTGACTGACCTTTGCTTCACAAAACCACAGAACTACACAAAACTACTTCCATAAATATAAAAAAGAAAATCTGTCTATTGCAAATAGTTCCTTACAGCTGGTCCAGGGGGTCCTGGAGGTCCAACACTGTCTTGAGTACAGGTGCAAGCATTTGGAAGAGCTGGGCATTTTGCTTCATCCCTCTGAAAATTCAATCACAACTATTACTGTCCTTTTAAAGAAAAGTACTTAGTGGCAGCATACTTTTCTAAAACAATAACAGCAAGATTCTCTATTAACCTGGTTTTAAGTACAAGTAAAACTCATAGCTAAAAAGTGGTTTCCAAACGTTTTTACAGGACCTTTCATATTTTTAGCAAATTTTCTCTGTGAGCTATACAAGACATTAACAACAGAGGCACAGGCAAAATCAAATTCATATGCAGTTTCTGTTGTTCTAATATTTATATCCATTTGACAATCAGCTTGCACTGACAAAAAATAAACTAGTCATCTTTTGAATGCCAATCTAAGAACAGATTAAATAAAAAAAATAATAGTTATTCCATTCATAATACCTAGGACCTTAAATGTAATTGAAATACAAAATATAATGGACATTTCTTCCACCATTCCTAAGGGACTTAATTCTAGCACACTACAATCTTTCCCCCTCAAACACCAAACTTTAAAATGCAGTGTTGTTTACTGGCTGCTCTGACAACTGTGATTTAGACGTGTTGTCAGTATGAGGTATAATACCAGGCTAATATTGATTTTGTTAAATTTGCTATTAATAATGATTTTTCTGAATAGCCTCTGGTTCATTTATACTTACCATAGAAGGAAGATCACAACATCTGTCTCTGCTAGTCCAAACTGGACTGCATACAATGTCAAAATTCTGGATTTCTAACTGTAAAAGAAAGAAGTACTCTTGAAAGATACTAGAGATGTTATTTATGAAATCTAGTGGCATTATCATTAAAAATTACTCCTCTAATAATTTATTTCTAATGTAGTTAACACAATTCAGACTTTCACTTCTTTTTTTGACACTAAAGAAAGAATATTTTTAAATAATAAATAATTTAAAACCAAGGCTACATAAAGTTACAAGAACGTCAAGGACTGATGCTTGCTCTTGTTCTGGGGCAAAAGGTAACCAAATAAAGTGATTCGAGAAATATTTTGCAATACTTAATGAATAATACCAATGGATTTCTACATCAGCTTATTGACTGTGCACTTCAACATCAAATCTGGCTGAAAAACTTTTGGGCAGAGCTCTAAGGACTGCAGTCCTAGGGTCAGATATTAATTCAGATTCATATATCTTTCCACCGATATTAGCAAGGAAAAGTTCTGCAGAAAGGTTGAAGTGGGGACCTTAGGTAGTCTGTATGGTAAAAGCAGTTTCCTCTCCTTTTTTCACCCAAAGAGGTATGATCCTGTAGTTTGATGCATACAACCAAATATTTGGCGATGACCACCAAGAATCTTCTTCAAGCATTAAGGTTTCCACACATGGGTCAGATTGCAGACTTAAATCTTCTAATATGAAGCCCAGGTAATAGCCTTGATTACATATTAAGTATGGTTAATCCATCAAGATAATTGATATGTTCTTCATGGCAGCAGCTACTTTTCATTATAGGTTTATAGCTCATAAAGCCAGGGATTACTCTGATCACCCAGTACAAGACAGACCATAGGACTTGCCAGAATTAAAACCTGTTCATTAGATTATGTATTTAGAAAAACAAAACAATCTTCATTTAAAGGTTTGCAATGACAGAGAAGCCACAGTAAATGGTTCCAATTACTAACTGCTCTCCTTATTAAAAGAAAAACATTTTTGCTCTTGTTTGAATTTACCTGACTGTAATTTTCAGCTATTAGATTTTTGTTCTTGCAGTTCTGCTAAAACAAGAAGCTATCAAGACCAAACTCCTCAGTTAAATAAATTGGGTTTTGCTGTACAGACACTTGAAAGCTTTGGGTGCAATACTGTTTCTTAACAATCCTTAATCTCTAATCTCTTGCCTCAGAAAATTTTGAGGTCTTGCATTAATAAATAATGTTTATTGCTTACTGTTGCTGATCTCCGGTCGCCTTTCAGAAGTTTCCCAAGTATTTCATAACCATCAGTTGTGATGTTCCCAGCCTCCTTAATTGGTTTTTCCAGTATTTCACTGCAGTCAATGTAAATCTTAACATTTGATGAAGTTACAACAATATGGACCTGAAAAAAAGTTTAACGTATTTAGAAAAGGCACATAGGCATGTTTACTTGAACACTTTAACAGTATTTCACTGTTTAGGTAATACTGTTTTAAATTTTGTTCCTAGTAATCCTGCTTTACTTTCAACTGGTGGAAAAATTTAAACTCAAGGAAAGTCTATGACATTAGTAACCTCTTTAAAATGTTTTGAAGGTCACTAAGATGAATACACAAGCACAACTAAGAAGTATTATTTAATGTAATAGTTGAACTACAATGATCTATTTAAAAAAGCTTGCCTGAAAATTGCTTTAAGATGGCATGAAAGTGAAAAATAAAAATAATTTTCGAG